GGCTCAAGCTCAGCTCCCTACCAGCTAGAAGCAGTGCTGCAGCTGGGGATTAGAGACACACAACAGTATGGTGGGCACAGCTCCCCTCTGGCTGGAAGCTGTGCTTACACTCCAGCAGGAAAGCAGGGGGCTAGGAGAAGCAGTGGTGGCATGGGCACAGCTCCCAGATGCCTGGCCCTGGCACAGGGAAACCCACCTTACTGCTGACGCACCAGCAAAACTACCTGGCCCATGCTCTACTGGAGCTGGGTTGGTTGTTCCAAACCTGCAGTTTATAGAGGATGCCAGCCCCCAGCTTACACCACTAAAGTAATTGGACTGCTGCACTTTGAAGGATAGGAAATACTGGACCAATCTTTTGGGTCACTATTCTGAAGCTTTGCAGATTTGGGTTTATAAATGATTCCAGATGTTGCCTCTGGGACATTTTGAGTTTGCTTGCTTTATCTTTGAAATGATTTACTTCACATACCCAGTCACTTTTTAAAAAAATTAAGTGCTGGTACTCAGACTTACTAGAAGCTTTGGCACAACTGACTACAGCAGATAAAAAGCTAGTCTGTCATGTCAGTAACTGTATACTAAGAGTTAGCAAGCAAGCAGAACTGGATGCTTGCACTTTTTGACCAATATCCTTGTAGTTCTCTTTGTTCTCCTAAATCTCTGAAGATTTATGTAGATGCTGAAACAAACAAAACTGGCCTGATCTCAAAACTGGATTAGCTAATACATGGTTCTGCTTTTGTGTTTGTTTTTTTTTTTTAAGGTGAATCTACTTCTGTCAATGTCTAAATAGTCTCAAGGTTGAGCTGTCGGGAGTAAGTTTCTGTTGTTACATCAGTGAAAGAGATGTGAAGACACTTGCCTGAAATAAATAAAGGATCCCTGTGTGCTGTCCAACCTGTATGAAGGGTCTCTATGCTGCTTAACACAGAATTGTGGAAGAATTGAGCGCTATAGGTAACTTTTAAGTATACCACATTTACCTTTTTTCTAAAGGTGAAAAATCTGTTCAAGATTCTTGTACAAGCTCAGTTACTGCCTCCATCTGCCAGTTGGGGATTCTGAGTTAAATCCTTCCTTGCTTTCCTTTCATGGATATGATATGTGTGCAGTGGATAAAGAGTATTTGCCTAAGACACTCTGAAAACATTGCTAGGAAACCAGACTTAAGAAACGAAAAAATCGGCACATTTGAATGAAGACGTGAATGTTGGACGTTGCTGGAACTGGGTTTTAAGAGGCACACTTCAGTTTGTTTGTTTTTTAAACCTCCTGAGAATCCTGTTAGGCATAACTCAGTTTGTGAAAATTTTGTATTACATTTCCCTGAAATTTCTGATTTTCCTGTAACATTTGATGCACTGTATTTTGAATGCCCTGTGTTAAAATCAGTGATTCCTGACCCCTGGACTCTGACTCTGGCTTGCTCTATGTGAAGAACTTTCCAAGAGTTCTTCCCATGTTACGAAATGGACACGTGGGATTTACAATGAAAAGCTGTGCAATAAGATTTCTGATGTGTGTGAGGGAACTACCTGTGTTCTGAAGGCTTTATTGTAAAGTCAGGGTTTAGCATTGAGATTCTCAGGTACTTATGGTTTTAGGAAAGGGTTTTTCTTTTTCTTTTTTTCTTTTCTGTTTGAGCAATGCACCTATATGGGTGAAGGGGACTACTTGGATGCAGTAGGCAATGCAGAAGGCTGTTGGTAGCAGAGCTGTGACTGTGTGGAACTTGGGTGGCACTGTTATAGATGAGTAAGTTTTAGAAAGGAGGAAGCACCATTGGATGAGGAAACTTCTTCAGATCATCTTAGTAAATAGATCAGAAGAAAAGTACCCACTGGGCAGCAAACTGTCCGTGTGTAATGTCTCGCTGTGGTCAGTGTGCAGTGCGTGTATGTTGCATAACCAAGGTATGTCCTACTTCAAAAGGTTAAGTGCTTAAATACATGTCCGTAAAGTGGAGGAAACACTAAAGGTGGCTTTAAGTGTTTTCAGTGACTAGGGACCTTACTGTGTAGATCCATGGAATGCAACACCGGGACTGAAATGGCAGATGTATGCATTTCTGAAACCAGTTCTCCAGCTTGCATGGTGTTTTATATTAATCTTTGACGTCTTAACGCAAGAGTTATGCTGTTACAGATGAACCAACTGGGTACTACACTGGCAGGTTTTAAAGCCACAACGAGTAGCACTGTAGCAGACCGTTCTGAGGAAGACAGAGACATGGTATTTACAAGACCTCATCTAACTCTTTGAAATTAACTAAAGGAAATAACAAGGAAGAGAACTTATCCTTTCCCTTCACCTATTCAAGAATATAGGCTGTAAAATAATGTCCAATGCCTTGTAATATATGTACAGTTGGTATTTTTTATAGTATTTTACAAAAAAACAGAAACAAACCCGCATGATTGCTTTACAAAGTAATGATTGCTTGTACAGAAAGGGTGTGAAGGGGAAAATATGTATTACAGTAGTCACTGTTCTGAATCTTTTCACTTCTAAAATGACCACACAGCTTTGAGACAGAGTTTAAGGTTACTTGAGCAATCAGTTTATACAGCCTGTTAGCTGAATGAAGATTTGTTTAAACATGTACAGTTTCAGATATTTACATATACAAATAGTGTAAATAATTTCAAAAGATTAATTTAAAGTGCTTTATATTATCTGACTAGAATCTTGCTGTTTTTAATGTTTTTTTAATAAAAAAATTGCTTCCTATTTTGGTGCCTGAGTTAAGCTTTCTTATGTACCTTGAGGTTTGTTTAACATGATGACTTGTAATGAATTGAAAAAACACTAAATATCCTTTAGGCATGCATAGGATTTAATTAAGAAAAGACAAGTTATTTTTATTAGGAGTAAGAGAATTGGCTTTATTTGGCACAGATAGGTGTATACCTGAATACTGAGTGTGCAGCTAATTGTGTTTAAAGTAATCACTTTATAGTTGTAATAAAAGTAAATTTGTATTTTCTTTACTGATGATTTTGTGTGACTAAATGGTCTCTTCACTGCAGTTGTCTTGGGGAGAAGAAACTGAGGTTATAATAGAAGAACATATTTTAACTTGTTGGTCTTTACTTAAGAGCAAACTTGGGAGTTGAAAGCAGAAAGTACCGGTATTATTCGGCCCCTATTTTATTTGATGGCTATTCTTGGGCTAATCTTCCCATACTTTTTCATTACAATGTAGTGTTTG